CAGGGCTAGAAAGATGTCCCTCCTGGCTGGCTCAGGATGGACAGAGGTACAGGGCAGGCACCTGGAGGCCCGGTGGGTTAGGGCAGGCTTCTTGGAGGAGGAGGAGGAGGAGGAACTCTCCTTCATGAACTAATTATCTTCCAAAGGCCTCCACCTCCAAATGCCATCACGTTGGGGATGGGGCTTCAACATGTGAATCTGGGGTGTGGGGTGGCCGGTGGACACAATCAATCCACAGCAGGATGCATTCAAGGGGTGAGATGTAGTGTTGCAAGACCTACACAATTTAAAGGAGCACTCACCATTTACTGGGTGCCTCTTGGGTGCACTGTGAGGTGCCAGACTTTACAGATGTCTGCCCCGTCCTTGCAAAGGCAGGCAGGGTTAGCACGGAGTTGGCAGCACTTTTCTGATGAGTCTCAGAGAGATTAAGCCCCCGCACAGGGCCCAACAGGCAGGCAGGGATTCAACCCAGGTCTCCTGCCCCATATGAGATTGTGTCGCATCTAGTTTTCCTGGTTGGCGGACAGAGTGCTCTGCTGTGGCCCTGTCCTGGGGGGAGCAGCACAGGGGCTGTCTGTTCATATGCCCACCTGTCACACTCCAGTGTGAGCCTCCTTCAGGACCCCTGCCTGCTACTATAGGGACAGCGACTTGGAGACTACAGTCAGGAGGGAGAGCACTGTGCCCTCAGTGACCCACATGGGCCACAGCCAAGCACAGTACAACAGGTCTCCCCTGGGGCTGCTGCCTGGCTGTTGCTTTCAGACACATTAAAGGTGTCTTTTCAATAACAGCAATGCCAAAGTCAGCATGGTCGTGTGCAGGGATAAAGCAGTTCCCCTTAGAAACTGTTGGTAATTTGCATTGCACCTTTTTTCCTGTGCTAAAACAACAAACAAGACTAATTTCTTTTATGAGTGCTTTTTGCTATGCTGTTTGGTTATTTCCCATTTTCACTTCTTATTTTAAATATTTGTATTTTCTCCTCCGCTTAAATGATTACATGGTTCACACGTTTTGTGTTTTTTAAAAATTTAATCATTGAAGTCATACATTTGACGTATATTTAGTAATATGTGGAAATGCTAAGTGTATAATTTTAGGTGAAATAGCCTGAATAAAAGGCCTATGATGCCAATTTTTAATAAGAAAATTCATTGATATTTTATAGATGAAAAAATGAATAAAATGAAAAACCTCTAAATGCTAACAATGTTTATACCTGGTTAGTGTGATAGGAGGTGACTTCCAGTTTTTGTACTTTTTGTATTTCCTAAAATTTAGAAATTGATTTAAGGTTTTCTAATTAATTAAGGTTTCTAATCAAAGTTTTCTAGATATCCTGCGATTTCTATATGGATTTCTTTTTTTGATCTGAGTTGTTTAAACAGAATTTTTAAAACATGCCCAAGTGATAGGGCTTTGTAGTCCACAATTTTGTGATTACTTTCTAGTTTTTCTTTTATGTTATCAGATAGAGTATTATTTTTGCTTTTTTGGTGAATTTTTATTTGCAGCCTAACATGTGGGAAATTTGTTTGATGGTTCCACAAACACTTGAAAATTACATGCATTCTTTGTTTTCAAGGTATAGAGTTTGATATACACATCAATCAGATCTGTTTCATTTATTATCTAATTTTGGTCATTCTAGTTCTTCACTTAATTTGGCCCATTGGCCTGTCATGAGCTGGAATAGGGAAATTCAAATTACCTGCCTCTGGTGTGTGTCTGTCTAAGATCCCTCCTTTTATTGCTTCTGGCTTTTGCTCTGAATTGTGGGGTGTTGGAGTGAGTGTTAGGTCTTCAATTGTGGATCCTATTTTATTATTATAAAGTTTCCTTACTTGTCTCATTGAAAACTTTTGCCCTGAAATCAACTTTACTTGCCTACTATTGAGATTACAGTGAATTCTTAGTTTGAGTTTATGTTTATCTGATATGTTGTTTGCCCTTCCTTTATTTTCAAAATCCTTGACTCACTTTGCTCTTGTATGTGGCATATGGTTGAGAGTTTTGTCTCCAATCTTAGAATATTTTCTTTTCAGTAGTTTACTACAGCCGTTCATTGACATGGTTAGTATTTTGGTCTTAGTTTTACTATAATATTTTATGTCTTTATGTCTTTTTGCATCTTATAACAAAATCTTTCAATATATGGTCTGTTTTATTTTGTGTTGTGTTCCTTCTGACAATTTAGAAGGTTTGCATTTTATTTTTACTTTAGGAGGTTACCTTTATAACTATGTAAAATGGATTTAATCTTTTGTTGAGATTGTACTAGTTGTTTCCCTTCTGAAATAAACGCTCACAAAACTAGTTTATAAATTTGGTCACAATTTTTATCTGCTTTGTGACAGCTCTTTTTCTGGTGAGTTTTCTTGGTTTGCCATGTTTTGTTCTACCTGTGTACTCCTTTATTTCTTCTATAGCATCTTTGACTATATCTTGTACTGGTTCCTCTTTGAAAGCCATGAACCCTCTTGGATCAGCATTTTGGAGGTGATGCATGTAGAGGAGGTGCCAGGAAGTATGTTAGGAGAGCAGGATAGTTCCCTGGTTCACGGGAACTTTGCTCACAGGATCATGGTGGTAATTGCTTTTAGTCTTTGCTTCTACTCAGTAAGCAGAGATCTGTAGCTGTGGTCTTCTCCCAATTCAGAGCCCTCCTCCCACTTTGCCTCACCAACACACTGCTTCCTATGAAGATGGCAGATCTGTGTTTTCCTCTGTTGGCCCTGCCCACATTTTTCTCCAGCGTGTGGGAGGCAGCTCCCACTGCCAGACTACATACCTTGTTCCCATTGTTCTTGATAAGGAGTCACTGGTTTTTTCCTTCAGGGAGTGCCAGCTACTGGCTGGCTCTGCCAGCTTTATCCAAGATCTGCAGCCACAGGTGTCTTCTGTAGGTGTTTTCTCACAGCCGTTTTAATCTTCACTGCTTTTGGCAGCCCTTTCCTGTTTTTGGCAGCCTTCCCATATAAGTTGTGGTTCAGGTTACAAATGTGTTCTAGTTTTGCTGAAGAGGGAGTTTGCATTTCTGTTTCTTTCTCCTTGATTTGGGGTGATTTCAGATATGAAAAGGAGTAACTTTATTCTGCTATCTTAAAACTGTCTAGTGTTGCAAATTTTTATGTGATCTAGTAGTGCCTCATATCAAACATTATCCGGGGCTCTCTGAATAGGGTTGACATCTGCTGAAGCTGGGATCTGACAATAGAAAGGAAAGAAAATAAGAGTTTGAGAATAAAATGGGAGGGTTAAAAAAGGAACACAGAGTATACCTGTCTGTGCTGTGTTGCAGCAGAGTTCTTTCTCTTCCCCATCTGGGCTTTGGCTAGGAATCTGCCACTGTTTGGGTTAAGGCCAGGCAGGGCACTTAAAACACCCATCTGTCTCCTCGTCTGTCTCAGGGGAATTGTTCAGAGCCTGGCAGTTCTCAGGCCAGGCAGGGGAGGGCACATGCTTTGCTCTGGACAGGCTGCAGGGCTCGGCTCTCCATCTCTCCCCACACCCAGGGCCCATGCAAGCAGCCCTAGCTCTCTGGGTTCTGGCTGGTCTCCTAGTGGTGGTGGCCAATTCCTTCTCCATGAAAGCTAGGATCCTGTTTCAGGGAAGGCAGTCTGGGATCAATGCTTGTTAATGGTGTTCATATGCCTAAAGAAAGGCTTGCCCATCCAAAGGGAAGGGATCCATGTGGGATGCCCAGACAACACAGCCAGGGAGGAAAACCTGCCTGCAGAGTCCTGGCTTTTTGTATTATTGCCTGTCAAATTCTAGCACCACTGGGTGGAGGTGTTTTGTACCCATTTTACAGATATAGGAAACTGGAATCTCAGAGAGAGGCTAGGAGGCCTTCCTGTGGACACAGTTAAGAGACTGAGAAAGGGATTTGTATGCAGTTCTGTCTGGCTCCACAGTCTGGACAGCAGTTTGCTTATCCTTCCCCCTCTCCCCCGTTTACCTTCCCATGGAGACCGTATCCCATCCTCCGATGACTGCTATGTCCATGTCCCCGTGTGACGTGTGACCCTGCTGGATGCACACTGTGTCTTGCTTCTTAAGTCTGGCTGCATTTTAGGATGCTATTTAAGCTCCCCAGGGCCTTCAGGGTTGGGAACCAATGGGCCATACTCTATACATCTGTAGTCCCATGTCTTTGGCAGCTGTGTCCCCTCAGCCTTGGCACAGGAATTGTCTCCTGGGATCAATTGCACCTGGATTCTCGGGGCCCTGTGATTTCAGGCAAGTCAGAACTGCTCTGGGCTTACTCTTTTTTTTTTTTTTTTTTGAGACAGAGTCTCACTTTGTTGTCCAGGCTAGAGTGAGTGCTGTGGCGTCAGCCTAGCTCACAGCAACCTCAAACTCCTGGGCTCAAGCAATCCTCCTGCCTCAGCCTCCCGAGTAGCTGGGACCACAGGCATGTGCCACCATGCCCGGCTAATTTTTTCTATATATATTAGTTGGCCAATTAATTTCTTTCTATTTATGGTAGAGATGGGGTCTTGCTCTTGCTCAGGCTGGTTTCGAACTCTTGAATTTAATCCGCCCACCTCGGCCTCCCAGAGAGCTAGGATTACAGGCATTAGCCACCGTGCCCGGCCCTGAGCTCACTCTAAAATAGGTTTACCTGTGACTGTTCTAAGTGCAGAACGCAGACTCTGAAGCCACATGACCCTGGTTTGAATCTTGGCTCAGTCACTTATTAGCTGTGGTACTTTGGATAATTATTTATCCTCTCTGCACTTCAGTTTTCTCATCTGTAAAATGTGAATAATAATGTATATGTCTTATAGGGAAATGAGCTAATAAGTGCACATCATTTAGAGCAGTGTCTGGCATGTGGCAAGTGCTCGATTAGTGCCAGATATGAGTACACAAATTATTACTATTATTAAGCATGCAAAGGGCTCAGCCAAAGCATGGGCATAAATGAAGGGATGGGTAACTGGCTATTGATGCTGCTGTTCTAACCCATGCCCTTTCCTTCTTTCCAGGAGCTTGGGCCCGGGCCCCAGCCCTGTAGAGGCTGTGGAGGTCTTCGGTCCGGAAGCCTGGTTCCCAGCCCCGTGGCCCATCCCTGGCTGCGGGGAGCGCAGGCTGCCACGACGTAGCGGTGGCCGGCAGCGGCCCCCTCCCGGCAGCGAACCATGGGCCAGAAGCTCTCAGGGAGTCTCAAGTCGGTGGAGGTGCGAGAGCCGGCGCTGCGGCCGGCCAAGCGGGAGCTGCGGGGCGCAGAGCCCGGGCGGCCGGCGCGGCTGGACCAGCTGCTGGACATGCCGGCGGCGGGGCCAGCTGTGCAGCTGCGGCACGCCTGGAACCCCGAGGACCGCTCGCTCAATGTCTTCGTCAAGGATGACGACCGGCTCACCTTCCACCGGCACCCGGTGGCGCAGAGCACCGACGGCATCCGTGGCAAGGTGGGCCACGCCCGCGGCCTGCACGCCTGGCAGATCCACTGGCCCGCCCGGCAGCGCGGCACCCACGCGGTAGTCGGCGTGGCCACGGCGCGGGCCCCCCTGCACTCCGTGGGCTACACGGCGCTGGTGGGCAGTGACGCGGAGTCGTGGGGCTGGGACCTGGGCCGCAGCCGCCTCTACCACGATGGCAAGAACCGGCCCGGCGTGGCCTACCCGGCCTTCCTGGGGCCCGACGAGGCCTTCGCGCTGCCGGACTCGCTGCTGGTCGTGCTGGACATGGACGAGGGCACGCTCAGCTTCATCGTGGACGGCCAGTACCTCGGCGTGGCCTTCCGAGGCCTCAAGGGCAAGAAGCTGTACCCGGTGGTGAGTGCCGTGTGGGGCCACTGCGAAGTCACCATGCGCTACATCAACGGCCTTGACCGTAAGTGTGCTCGCAGGGACAGCGGGGGCTTCTGAGGCTGCCCGTCCCTGGGCCCTGGGGAGTTGGGGAGGGGCGGGAAACAGGATTGCCATGCCCTCCGCGGCAGGTGGGACCATCCTGCAGAGTAGAGTCCTGGTTAGTACATGGGTTTGGATCCTGACTCTCTCCCTTGCTGGCTTAGTGATTGGGGGCTGTGCCTCAGTTTTCCCATCTGCACAAGCGGCACAGTGATAGTAATCTGGCTCAGGGTTGCTGTGAGGATCAGTTGAGATCATACGTGTGAAGTGCTTAGAACAGTGACTGGCACCTAATAAGGGCTTCGAATGTCAATGCCAATTACAAATTTTTCAGTCTGCATAAAGGTGGTACGAAATGACCCAAGTTACTCACAATGTGGCAGTGAGAAGTCACAGTCCCTGGACTCGAATGCCATGCACTCAAGTTACTGATAAGTAATAAGTAATGATAACAACTGTCCTTTATTTACCACCTACTGTGTGCAGGGGCTAAGCACTCAAATTCCGGCTCTTGCTGGTGAGCTGTCTGTTAAAGGGGACAGCTACCTCTCATCTCCAGCGGACTTTCACCCGTGGGAATGAGGACCCTGGGCTGCGGAATCTTCTGATTTTTCCAAGAGAACCCAGAAATCTAAATTGTGTGAACTATCCAAATTTTAAAAGTTGATAGTCACTGAAAACTATTTTCAGACAAACAAAACACCCTTGCAGGCTGAAGACAAGCCCACAGGCTGCTGGGCTTGACCCCTGACAACTCTATGGCCTCCTCTCATTTAATGCGCACAACCATCCTTTGAGGCAGCTTAAGAATCATAGGAACAAAAATGGTTCTTGGTTTTAGGAAGGAGTCACTCAGAGAGGCGGGGTGGCTTTTGGACAGAGGCTCACATAGTCACCTGTCCTGAGTTGAATCCAGCTGAGCAGGGCCAGGAGTCAGGCACTTGTGGGCTTGCACACTCCCATGCATCCGTGACCAGCACCTGTCTAAACAGACTTCCTGCTGTACCTTAAAGCTCTTTAGAGTCTGGTGCTTTGAGTGGGAATTCCAGTTTATTCATTTTACACTTTATTTTATTTTATTATTTTTTTGCAACAGGGTCTCACTCTGTTGCCTGGACTAGAGTGGTGATATCATCATAGCTCACTGCAGCCTCAAACTCCAGGGCTCAAGCGATTCTCCTGCCTCAGCCTCCCGAGTAGCCAGGGCTACAGGCACATGGCACCATGTCCAGCTAATTTTTAAAAATCTTTTTGTACAGATAGGGTCTTGCTATGTTGCCCAGATTGGTCTCAAATTCCTGGCCTCAATCCTCCTGCCTCAGCCTCCCCAAATGCTAGGATTGCAAGCATGAGCCGCTGCACCCAGCTCAGTTTATTCATTTTAAATGAGAGATGTAATTGCGAGCCAGTGAGGCAGCTTCCAGACCCTTGTTATAGAGATATGAAACTGAAGAGCAAAACTACTGAGAGACAGAACTGCCCCCCTACCCCAGTCTGTTGGCCTCTGAAGCCCATTCTTTTCTTGTGCTCCCCACTTTAGTTGAAGTACTGAGAGTAACACTCCAGAATATAGGTCAAGGACAAGTTTTTACTCAAGTAAAATTCACATTTACTCGAGCATAGGGTGGTTGACAGTTTTCAAGGGTGGCAGGCTAACAGAAAAGTGGCCGATACACTCAGCTATCTGGTGTAACTGGTGACAGTCTTGCTCTTAGTTTATTTTCATGGTTGTTGGATTAAAATTGCCATTGAATGGCAAAGTTTTGTTTCATTTTTTCTATTTAATTGCCTAAACCTTGGAGCAGATGAGTATATCCTGAGAAGGGCCGATTTAGTCATCATGGTGCCTTGCGGAAAGTGTCTAGAACCCTCTTGGGCATGGTGACCAGGCAAACCCCAGTGGTGAGAAAACTGACAGCAACAAACACTCTCTATTTAATGGCATTGGAAAATTTGCTTGCTGGAAAAATTACTAGACTAGATGGGTGGCCTTGGTATACCACCAAGTCTGACATGCCTCCCCATTGCTCAGTGGTTTTGTATCTTTGGTGAGTCTCTGCAACTCCTTAAGACTCACTTTACTCATCTGAAAAATGGGACAGTATCAGGTCCCTTTCACAGCTGCTGTGAGCTCTTTTGTGGTGGCACCAATACTATGGTAGCTGGGATTAAAGGCCAGACATTGACACCCAGCGGGAGCTGCCAGAGCCAACAGTGATTGCCCCTAAAGTAAGCCTCCTCTTGGTGGTCGATTCACACAGGTATTATCTGAGGCCTGGTTTTCAGGTACAAAGCCAATGTGCTAACAGGGCTGCATCCAGTGACTCCCCCATGCACGTTGGGATCAGGAGCAGTCTCCCTGGTGTTCTGCTCAGGGAGGTTGGATGGGGGAGGGGAGGTTGTATTTGAGGCATTTTAAGCTCATGGGTCCTTCAGGTGGTTGGAGAAGCTTGGTGGGACTGAAACTTGAAACGTTCCATCCCCCTCCCCACTGGCCGTGACTTTTCAGGTGGGCTGAATGTGGGATACTGGATCTAGGAGGCGAGAGAGGCTGGGATGTCATGTGATGCAAGCCTGTGGCATTTCCCGTTGGGTGACAGGGCTGGCTTATCTGCTATGGCACCAGCCTGTTCTCCAGATAGAGTAACGCTCTCTCTCTCTGGTGGGGTGTGATTGCAGAAAAGGGAAACTCGACTTTTCTGGGCTTGCAGGGCCCATCCATGGTCGGCCTGGGACAAGCCCTGGCTATAGGGCGGGGGATAGGACAAGCTGCAGTGGAGTTTCGCAGGGGTAGTTGGGAAGGGACCATGTGATGCCTGTAGCCAGTCATCTGGGCTGAAGTCCACCATGGATCCCTGGGGACTGAGAATAGTTCGGCCCTAGGGGGTCCCTGAACAGGGAAGGTGACCCAAGGTGGGGTTCTGTGGATAGTAAGAATTCCGAGCTTACATTGGTTGTGGACATGGTGACAGGTCCCTAAACTCAGACCTGATGGAGTTGTGGGGTACCAGAGTCAGTGACATGCTCAAGAGCAAAAAGGCAGGACAACTCTCTGGGGTTGCTTCCCCACAAGCTCACGGGAGGGGGGAACTTTGCCCAGGGCCCCTCACAGACCTGGGTTAAACTCTGGCCCCAGCACTCAGCAAGAGGCCGTGGGCAATTAACCTCCTCTGTAAACATCAGTGTTCTGCCTTCTACAATGGTGATGGCAGAGTTTACCCCCACAGAGCGGACACAGAGCGACTGGAGCCCACTGCTGTGGCTAACTAGGTGAGCTGGGGCAGGTTCTGGGCTTCACCTATGGATTAGAGCAAAATGGCCTTAACAGAGGCTTTTCTTTTAATGTGAAAGGAAGGTGATGGATATCACCTTCTCAAGTTTTTTATTTTTATGACTGTAACAGAAAGACTTAAAAAGGGCTTACTGCATTTAACTCTGAAGCATGTATTTGTTGAGGGGAAGAACTCCTGGAGGTGTGATTTCCTATTGCAAGTGCGTAACATTGTCTAACCTCCTGCAAGCGAAATTGTTCTGCTGCACCACACAGTGGAATGGCCCAGCATCCTGGAGTTCCCTGCAGAGGCTGCAGGCTGCCCAGGGGTTCTGCCATCTGAGCGAGCTAGAAGCATGGAGCCAGGGCAAATGGGCAAACTGTCACAGGGTGCCCAGGGTTCAACTAAAAATAATAGCAGCCACAACAATGATGAACACTTATGTAGTGCTTAGTCTGTGGGGGTAGGTTTTATTTTAAGCCCTTTACAAATTTTAATTCATTTAATCCTTGTACTGACTCTTTGATACCTGTGTTATCATCTTCAGCTTACAATGAGGCGGTGGAGGCACAGAGAGCTTGAGGAAGTTGCTTAAGGTCACACAGCTAGTAACTGAGGGAACCTGGGTTCAAACTGAGGCAGACAGGCCCAGTGGGCACCTCGTGGAGCTGCTTACAGATGCAGCAGGGGGAGCATGCGCAGAGGGTCTGCTCTACCTGACTGGGGTGGCCAGGCAGCAAAGGGCTGTACCCTTGCCTTCAGCGGTGAGTTTGGCTGAAGCCCTGAGATGCTGTCTCTGTCGTTTTTCCTCCTCCTGGCAACTTCATCTCCAGCCCTCAAAGCTCTTGGCTCAGCACAGAACTCTGCAGGGTGTTCTGAAAGCTACGTTGTACAAAGACAGCCCCAGTGGTGGCCATGAATCAGGCACGTTTGATCACTAACGGGGGAATGTCACTGCAAGTGTCCCGACTGCCGTGAGGGTTGGGCCCCTGGGGTGGGCCAGGCCTTTGGAGTCTGCTGGGGAATTGCTCCTTGGCTCCCGGGCTTCTCTTTCCGCGTGCTGGCGGGGCTGGGAGGGCTGTCAGCATGGCTTTGTTCATGTCGTGGAGTTCTGGGGTGGTAAGTGGTGTGTGAGTGACACAGAAGTGGAGAGGAGCCCCAGACAGACAGGCGGCCTGGAAGTCCCCGGCAGCTTTGATTTTGAGGGTATCAATCATTATACCTTTTGTTGGATACCACCCATGTTCTGTGCCCTGGGCTGAGTGTTTTACTCTTTTTTTTTTCCTTTTAATCACATTAAGCTTTGAGGCAATATTACTGTTATTATCCCCGTTTTATAAAGGAAGAAACTGAGTCTTGGGAAGAGTTTGCCCAAGGCCACACAGCTGGCAAGTGGCAGAGCGGTGTGTATACCCAGGTTACAACCGCTGGCCCGCCCTGCCCACGCTTGCCCACAGCTGAGCTGGCCCGACTCCAGAGTGGGTGCCGGCACCCAGAGCTGACGTTCAAAGGGTGCAGAGTGGAAACGTAGGTGTCTGCGCCTAACTGACAGAGTGAGCTTGTCCACCTGCATGCAACTGAGGAAGCTGTATTTCCAGACGTCGTTCCTAGATGGTTTAATCGATCTGCCAACAAGTATTTATTGGCGCAGCTGCTCAGCAGAGGAGGCTGGCGGCCAGCCACGGCTTCTGGTATTGATGAAGGCCGGAGA